TATATATATACGTGTTTGTGGTGTGATATCTGCACCGTCTAACTGCGGGTCAAAGGTCACCCCCAACCCACACATCGCTCATCGTTTCCCGACCCCGCGCAGGTCAAGGCTTCCAAGATCCCGGAAGAACGTGACGACCCAGCCTCCGCCTCGGCCGCTCCGGGGGTCGCGTCGGAATCCGAACCGGATTCCGGCCAGAGTCCGAACCTAAAGCGATCGGTGCGTCGTGATTTTCCGTTTCAAAAAATTGCCGTTTCCGTTTTTCGGAAAATCGTGAATTCCGTTTCAAAAGTAAGAGAAAAAATGGAAATTCCGTTTTGCTATAGAGATTGTACACACCAAAATGTGAAATTCCGTTTACATGTATTTGCATAAAAATAAATGGTATTTGGTACAACCTTTGAAACCGAAACACAGGGCTACCAAAAGTCGTAATTATAAGTCATTTCGCTTTGAAACTTGTCTGAATGTAAACCATATCATTACCAATGCTATTGTCGACGTTTTTTTGCGATTTTATTGAAATTTCCATGTTGTAATATGTTCAAATTTCGAGTTTTTTTTCCGTTTGAAAACATCTTTTCCGTTTCCAATGGCCGTTTCCGTGTTTTCCGTCCGTTTTGCCGCGATCACGGAAAATCACTGTCCCTAGGTGCGCATCGCGGACCTGAAGGCGGCGTCGGATGGAAATGAGTACGCAATGTTGCTGTGTCCAACATCCATCGACGCTTACTGTGGGAACGGAGAGACGGCGTTACACGTGGCTATACGCAACGGCTACAGAGACATCGTAGGGTGAGCACTCCCTTCCTACCTCTCTCTCCCTCTCTCCCTCCCTCCCTCCCTCTCTCTCTCTCTCTTTCCCTCTCTTTCTCTTCCTACCTCTCTCTCTCCTTCCCTCTCTCTACTGTGTATTTCTCCCTGTACTGTGGGAACGGAGAGACGGCGTTACACGTGGCTATACGCAACGGCTACAGGGACATCGTAGGGTGAGCACTCCCTTCCTACCTCTCTCTCCCTCTCTCCCTCCCTCCCTCCCTCTCTCTCTCTCTCCTTCCCTCTCTTTCTCTTCCTACCTCTCTCTCTCCTTCCCTCTCTCTACTGTGTATTTCTCCCTGTACTGTGGGAACGGAGA